TATTATTCGATTTAATAGAGATATGTAATTACTTTTACACGTATATCGATGTTATCTAGAAGTTTAAAAGAACATTAAGTACAAAGTAAAAATATCCTTCTCGATAAGCTTTATTATCCTCCCTTTAAAAATCCCTAGAAGTGGATTGGACAAATGTGAAGAAAGTCTAGGGGATTTCACGGTGTTCGAACTTGATTCCTTGAAATATCTCTAGAGATGGATTCAGGAGAGTGAAACGAAGGGGCGTGATCGTGATTTCGTTTTAACTGGATTAACGTTGAAACCCTCGTGCCGCGATGGGTGAAAGATTTCTCGTAAGAGTGATCTGAGCGTGGATTAATTTCCTGAAAGAGGAGAAAGCGGCAGGCGCGGTGATTCCGTGGCTGGTCGCGCATTGCACGCCAACCTTAATTTTCCGAAAGCCGATAAGGCTTTAAGGAGGTTTTCGCCAAGATCGCGATCTCGCCGTCACGAGAACTGCTGCCTCGCTTCGGGACGAGAACGCCCCCCTTTTTCGTTATCCTCGAGAAAAATCGCTGGGCGAAAAATAGAATCGATTCTTTTACATTTTAAATTTTTATTCCAATTCATCTTTTCCGAGGGATATTTCGAAAATTCGTTTAATATGTCGTCTCCGTTGTCAATTCTTTTTTTTAATCGAAAATGATCGAATTGGCGTTCGTAATTTTAATTGCACTTGTTCAAATATTATTGTAGGGAAATATTCGATGAATATAGATCTCGTATAATTCTTTGGAAAAATCGTTAGGAGAAATATATTTAGTTCCAGTAATATTTTACTTGTAAATTTTGAAAATAAATGTAATATCTTAACGTCATTGTTTTCCTATTTTTTTTAAAATTCCAATAACAGCTCAAGACGTTAATTCGTGTCATTTATGTCACTTATTTAAAATTAAGAATTCGTTCGCGCTAAAAATTTTCGTTCACGCTAAAATAATACAAAATTTTTTACATGAAACGTTATTACAGCACAATATATCCAATATATCGCGGATCAAAATAATCCCCTGCCTCGTACTTCCATGTTATTTTACAACTAGCTAAAAATACGCTTGAACTTATGAACTGACCTCATAGCAAAGGATCAAAAATAGTGAATAGCGTCGAGCAACGCGCTCGTTCGATTTCTCTCCTTCCTGCAAAATTTATTTCTCGTTTCCCTCTCCCCTCCTACCCACCCGGTTCGTGATATTTCACCACTCGAAGCCTTCAATTTCGAAACAATGACGACAGAGAAAGTTCCTGCAGAAAACCATGTGGCGAGATTCGAAATAGGGCGAGAGCCTGCCTTCTATTCGCGATGCAAATCGATTTGTCGATTATTCGATTCCTTCCCCCTCCCCTCATCCCTCGCGTTCTCGAGCCCGAGGCATTGTCACTACGGCCCTGCCTTATCGACATTATGCTGATTTCCCAAGTGGATCGCGTCGAAGCGACTCGTCGTAAGAAATTCGATGAAAAATAAGGGACAAACGACGCTTTTCCACCCAGCTGAAATCTCGCTTACGGACGATCGTTGTTCTTTCAACGCGTATATGCGCTCTCTCCTTCTCTTTTTTTTTTTTTTTCCTTATTTCTTTATTTCAATGGCTTCTCCAAGGGAAATTTAATTTTTTTCCAAAACGGAAGTGGAAAACGAAGTAATGTAAAACATCGTAAACACCAAGACAGTGGTAATAAGATAAATTTAAAATGTTGGAAAATTATTCGAAGCTTTGTGAATAGTTAGAGAAAAGTTTTCTATATATTTAGAAAAAAAATTTATAACTTTATATTGTGCATCGTGATTATGGATTATCGTTTTTCTCGGAAAATTTTGATCGATTACATTTTGTATTGACGCACAACGCGTATGATGTACGCGCATGTATAGTTCATCTATTTTAATGAATTTCTGTATCGAGTCGATAAATTTTGCGATTAACATCTGTTTTTTCCTTTAAATAATCCGTCATTTTGAAATGACGAATTGATTTCCGCCCGGTGAACGTGAATCGAGAGAGATTGAAAGGCTTTGCACCGGTCGAAACAAGTCATCTGGAGAATTATCCACGCAGAAATATTGTTTAATAACGTTCAGCGATACGGTTTATTGTTCACTATGACACGTACATCGAGTTCTATCGGTTGCGTTCGTTCTCGACGAATTTTCCTCGTTGATTGCGGGGAGGAGAAAAATAATCGTTGGTTAAAATAATTTTTCTTCGGGGGATGTTTCAGATTTTTAACGATGACGATGGAAAAAAGAGAGAGAGAAGAAGGGTCGAAGAATAAAAATTTCAGGGCGAAAGTGGGAAGAAAGTAGGAGATTAAAATATTCAAAAGTTCAAAATGCAAGTTTCTAAAAATTCCACTGCATAATTTATAAACTTGGAGGAAAACTTCTAGGACTCGAATCTTCCGGTCGAATGAGTTTGTCCCAAGAATTTTTCGCCAAACAATTCCTTTCGATCGAGATTTTTAATATAAAAATTCTCAATCAGTCGAAAGTATTGAATATCTTTCGCGTGACTATTGGTCATCCAATATCCAATTAACTTTCTTCGATAATCTTTACTACGCATCGTTAAGCTTAAACTTATCCCAAAATTTCCACCGAAATCTTTCGCAAATCTCAAAACTCGCACCCAATCCTCGATTAAAACCAAACAGCTCCTCCCCCTAAACCACCCCTCGATTAATTAATGAGAAATGGTGGCTCTCGATTATTCGAGAGGAATTCTCCACAGGGCAATTCAATTTTCTTCCATCGATTCGATTACAGTGGAACGAGTTACGATGTTTCTTGAGAGAGGGATGAAGACAGAGGAAACAAGCTCCTCGGTCCTCCTTCTCCCCTCTACCTGTATTACGCGGGGAACACGATAACTTTGCACTCTATCCACCCCCTCCTTTCGCGTTTCTTCGAGAGCAGAGGCCGTATTTGATTTGACTTTAATACGATTTCTCAGCGATGGCGACAGTCTGGATACACGTAACCGCTCCTGGCAGAAACGAGAGGGGACCGAGACGAGAGGAAGTTGATTATCCATCCACGTCTCTGTCTCTCTCTTTCTCTCTTCCCTCTCTGCCTGAAATTAATTTCCTCGGGTGAGAAACACGTTTCGTTTTCGAATCGAAGCAAAGACTCGATTTATTTATCTTTTGAAAATTATTGAGTTTTCGAATCCTTCGAATTCGAAAGAATTAAATATAATTATCGTTAAAATTTAATTTAGTTCAGTTTTGTAAAATTTGATTCGAGTGTACGACAGGTTATAAGTCTTTCTCTCTCTCTCTCTCTCTCTCTCTGTGAAAAGGTTGAAATGAGTTATGGTTCAGGGAAATTAAAGTCAGGAATTAAGGGTGTATCAAGATTCGAGGATATATTATATTTCTCCGACAGTATCAACGAAGGTGTGAGCGTGTGAGCATCATATATTTTACAATCACGGAGACAATAAGAGTAAAAATTTCCCTCCAAGATTTATAGCCCATCTCGATGCTTTTCCAATTTTCTTTTTTTTCTTCTTCGTTTTCCTCTTATCGAACGTTTTTATTCAAAGCGATTGCACACGACGAATGGCACACACGAGCACACACGGCACATACACACACAAACACACACACCTGATTATTCGATACCGTCTCAAAATCATCCTTTCCCATCATCCCAGTGTTTCTAACCTCCTTTATGTCATATCTTTAATTTTCTTTTTCTCGTACACGCACCTCTCGGTACAAAGCAAGAGTCTTTAATATGATATGACGATGACCATGATGACATGACACGATATGATATGATATGATAATGAGATGATTAATGTGACCATGACCATGATTTCTTACCATGATTTTATATTTACTTATTTGTTGCACGTTGTTTGGTGCGTCTCCGTAAGCAGTATGACGCGCTCGCAGACTCTCTGGCAAACCGACATTTCGGCAAATATCGTGCTTTTTATCCGTCTCCATCCACGTATTTATGAACGAGTGCTCTCCTTCGCCGCCCTTCTTACATCTCTCCCTCTTCGTGATAACGTAAATACAACGTTTCCTCTTACCTTTAAAGTAAAATCTTAATCGCTTTGAAAAAGAAATTTGTTGAAAATTTAAATTTAGAAGAAAAAAAAAAAAAGAAAAAAACAGAGAAAGGATTATTTTTCAAATATTGAGCATCGCTTGACAACTTTTTGCTCATCGTCGCCGATGAAAACTCATCCGGTTTATTGTTTCCACGAATTTCGTAAAGACGTAGGGAGGACCATGATGGGACGCGCGCCGAAAGAAATTCCGCAAAACTTTTCGTTTCGCCCCTCGAGGCAGCGTCTCGAGAGTGGATCTCGAGAATTAATTAGCGGCAGACGGCCATTGTACGGCGAGAGATTCGAGGAATAAACGGAAGAATAGGTTTAAGAGTTGAAAAAGACGAGGACCGAAAGATGAAAGAGGGCGAGGGGGCCAAGAAACGCGAAAAGAAACTCGAAAGAATCTCTCGTATTTCGTTCGCGTATAGTTGAATGAAAAGTCGGTCGAATCGGCACGAATTCGATTTAAATAAGCGTGGAAAGGTTCCTTGCGCGAGTTGCACGCGGAGCACCCCCACGAAAAATGCACTCGTTGGCCTCGAAGGCCGTTTCAAAAAAATCGCCTTTTCCTCTCACCTCTTCTTTCTTTCTTTCTTTCTTTCTTTCTTTCTTTCTTTCTTTCGATATCTTACCCTCCTAATATTATCATTACTATTATTATATTTTCTATTCTCCCTTGTTTAACATCTTCACCTTTTATTTTACTTTTCTTTCTTTCCTTTTCTTTTTTTTTCTTTCTTTCCTTTTTTTTTTTTTTTTAAATTCGTATTAATAGACACGAATGAAAATTTTGTACAAGCGTTACAAGAAAAGCACGAAATGTCGGGCCTGCCAGTCGGCTGTTTGCCGAGCGCTGGCAGTCTGTAAGTTGAGTTTAATGCATGTTGTTTTGTCTGTCCTTGCATGCAGGGATTCGGTTTTGTAACATTCGCAAATAGTGCTGACGCGGACCGGGCACGTGAGAGGCTACACGGCACCGTGGTTGAGGGCAGAAAGATTGAGGTGTGCATGAACATTCTTATACTTATATATATATATACATACATATATATATGTATACATTCGCCATTAATTCATTTATATACACGTGTTGTACTTATTTTTGCAGGTGCACAGCGGGAAGCGCGGACGAGCGACTCCGCACGCTCGTTCGCGCTACTCGCTCAGATAATATATTATTTCAAATTAATTCAACAGGCGACCAGCGATTGCTTCTATCGATCTTCTTTATTTATTTATTTATTTATTTATTTATTTACTTATTTATTTATTTATTTATTTTCCCCTCCTTTTCTTTCTCGTAGCTAACAATACTACAATGTCGAACGCTGCTTCTAATTGAATTTCTAAAAACGTTGGTCGCCTAATTGAGATACTTGAATCTTAGATATTTAAGCAAATCGCGGGGATCTCGTGCTCGTAAATAATTTTACTTTTTTTTTTTTTCTAATTTAATATCCATCCATATTAAAATTCATGGAATTTTTCGAAGGTATACATACATTTCTTCAACGATGACAAGTTTTTTTTACCAGCACGAGCTACGCGACTAATTTTAAGCAAGAAAAACGGTTCCGATCGACAGACACGCTTGCGCCTCTCGAGCGAGAAAAATCCCACTGTTTCGAACACTGTTTTTTCGGAGCAGAGAGTTTTTGAATTTTCGCGGAGCCACGGAGTCCCTCTTTCCGGTTATTTATCGGTTATTTTATCGGTGGTTAATCGAGGGATAATTGCGGGGAAGGATAGATAGATTGGAGAGCGCATTCTGGGTCAATCCGGATCGAGCACTCGAGAACTCGAGTGTCATCGATCGATTGGTGCTTGGAGTGTGTCGAGAGATTCGCGATCCTGACTCCTGTCGAGTCACTCGATCACGCTCCATTTTTTGGGGACTCGAGTCTAAATGATCTACAGTGTGATCCATACCGTCCGGATCGTTTTAAAAATATATAGATATAGATCAAATTTAAATTCCAATCCCTTTTTAACCATCAATTATTTGAGAAATTTGAAACTCGTTGAAACGATATTTTTCCTAAAAAAAAAAAAAAAAAAAAAAATTACAAATTTCTTTCGTGCATATATGGACGAATGAATGGCTCCGTAAAAATAAGTGGCGAGGATCGTGGCAATGGCGCGATTCAAGGATCGCGTGATCAATTCAAATTCAAAGGGAAAGAACGAGTCGAATATTCGGAATATCGATCGACGATCCCCCCCCTCCCCCTTCCGATAGTTTAATCGTTATTGATCGAACGTGATGTCTGGCACAATGTCGATATCCGGCAATAGCAACTTAATCTGATTGGATAATGCGATTAATCGAGCGAACGAAATGTTGCTTCGAACGCGTTGGCACACCGGCGTGGCCAGAATCACTGTTGCGTCACCGTTCCTTTATGAGCCAACTTATTTATAGACGAATCAACTTCTGTGTAAATTGATTTATAGAAATTCGTGCGCGTACAAAAATTCGAATTATGATATCGTTTTTCTCTTTTATACGATATATTTATATTTCGCGATTACACGTGTCTTACGATTCTTTTTTTTCTTTTTTCCTTCCTTCTTTTTTTTTTTTTTTTTTTTTTTTTTTTGTTTCCGAAACGAAACAATTCAAACAACCGATTGGATTGTTTAATCCAGACCGTGATTAATCGTAGAGTTAATGCGCGTAAAGTATGCGATACAAGGAAATCTTTTCAGAAAATTTAGCACGGGTTTACGCGCGTAACATTAACAATAAGATTAAATTCCAATTAAAGTCGATTTTCATCGTCATTGATCGAAGTTGATCGAAGTTTTACTATGCAAGTAATTTTCAATTGTAATTTATAATTGCACATTAAAATCATTATGTGTATATATATACATAGATTTAAAAATTTTTCTTAAAAATTCGTCGATATTCAATAATAATTCACGATTTCAATGGCTCGTCTGGACCAATATTCGATACGAAATCGTTGCAACGAAAAATCTTTCCCATCAGAATCACGAACCTGTATTCTCTCGCCATTGCCAGGGAACGTCACGAAGCGTCTCGAAGGTGCAAGCACGGAACCGAAAAGCGTGGGCCGTGCCACGAACGCGGACGCAGCCCCGATATTAATCTCGTCGAACATCGTCGAAATGAATTCGTCAAATCGACCGACACGCGTCCGCGTGGGTGGTACGAGTCACGCGCAAGCGACGAAGTTGAAGGGGTGGACGCGCTCGGGACAACTCCGTAAAAATTACATTTCAACGAAAAACAAAAAAAAAAAAAAAAAAGAAAAGAAAAAGAAAAAGAAAAAGAAAAAAGAAATTGTAACGAGGGACAAAATATTGTATGCGTACGCGCACGTTTAATTTATAAATTTTGTGCGTGTATGTAAATAGAGACAGAAAGAGAGCGAAGGTTGGCCAGTGAATAGGAGGATATATACATAAATATACACAAATATACTCCGTCTGGCAACAACGAATTAAATACGAAAGAAATATAAATATCTGATGTCTCTTTGTTGTCCCCTATATAGAGTCGTTCTACGCGCGACACAGCGACAGACGAGAGTCGAGGCGCGTGCGGGAAACATATAGTAGAGATCGGATAGGACGGTATAGAACGAGCGAGAAATAAAAAAATATAAAATATATACGTATATGTGGAAGGCTAGTAAAACGAGATGCCTATACGATGGTTAACGGACGGAATATTGAGAGAGCGAGCAAACGAGATAAGAAAGAAAGAAAAAAAAAAAGAAAAGAAACGAGAAATGAGAAAGAAAGAGAGATGATAGAGTATGAGAGAAAATTGTTGAAAGAATTTTGAGGGCAAGTAACGGCGGGCGAGTGGGGACACTGAAGATGCCGGTCGAAAAAATCCGATCCCAGAAGTGTCCGAAAAGGTAAGGAAACCAGAAACCATAACCATCGAGAAAAAGCGAAATAATAGTCGAAAAAACTGTTGACGAGAGCGACGAGAGATGTCGCCTCGCACTGCCCGCTCTCTCACCCCGATCAAATACACACGGGAGTCGCACGAAACGAATTTTTTTCATCGTACGCGTACAAATTATATCGGCGATTAACGTGGTAACCACGTTATGTTCGTTTATTCGTTTATTGCGGCGGGTGATATTGCGCGTGGAATGGGGGTGGGAGGGATTTTTTTTTTTTTTTTTTTTTTTTTTTTTTTTTTTTGCGGATTTCGTGCCCGAGCTTCTCGCGATTTTTGCGAACGATTATGCTACTATGGAGTGTTTATCGTAATGGCCGCCAGATGGCGACCGATGGCCACTCACCTCGGATAATCTGATTAAAAGTTTTTTGAAAAAAAAGTTAGTTAGCGGCGAATTGGCAACACGTTGCAGTAATAAAAAGTGGCAAAAAGCTTTTAGCTTCGTTAAAAGATCAAACCCTGCTCCCTGTAATTGTATAAAAATCAATGTTAAAATCAATGGTAAACTGTACCCGAGGCAGCCATATTGGAACAAAACGTGGAATAGAACGTAGAGCGGGTAATATGATCAAATTTAAAATTGAGAAGGGAGATAAAACGAAATTAAATTCTGTATCCTTCAACAAACGAGTTGTAAACTATCTAATATTATATTAACTGTCGATTCGTTGGTCGATTGTTGCTGAAGAGGGCACGATGGATTAAATTTCCAATTGTACGTTTTTACTTCGATATCAGATTGTTACGAATGTTTCTCGATGCGTTCTCTCGTTTTTTTTTTTTTTCTTTTTTAACCAGCGAATCACGTGGAAAATAGATCCGCGAAAATAAAAGGGATTACGTTCGAACGGAGAAATTTGTCATTAAATTTACCTGTCAGGAAGCAAGCCAGAATCTAGCGTAACGAAAAACTCGGAACGACTATTTAATCTCCATTTTCCTCTCTTCCATTCGATTCTGCTCTTTTCTCTATTCTATCTTTTCGCTCTCAAAAAAAAAAAAAAAAAAGAAAAAAAGAAAAAAAGAAACGAATTTCCAACGAACCGTTCGAACGTCGTCTGATAAATCGTCCGACAGCCAAAAAATTTGGCAACGTTCGCAAAACTCTCGTAACTCTGGCACGACAAACATTTGCACGGATTTTTTTTGCTACGTATTCTCGTAACTACCCCTCCATGTTCCACGCTCGTACGATCAATTTTCGAAATATTCAAAAAAAAAGAAAAGAAAAAAAAGAACATTACTTTTTCTTTTCTTTTTTTTTTGTTCTCTTTTTTTCTCTCTTTTTTTTCTTTTTTTTTTTTTTTTTTTTTTTTTTTGTCAATTTGCTTCCCGGTTTCACGCGACACTACGGATTTTTAATCTTTAAGCTAGATAAGTTATGACGGACGTTCGCACGAGTACTTTCGAAACTGGTGAAATTATTCGAAACGAAATATATATATACACGCGAATTTAAAGCGTGAATTTTAATCATTAATTTAAGGATTTTTAGATATTTAATTTCAGGAAATTTTCGCGATAGGAAACATGGTGGATTCGTAAGTGGCACGAAATGAGAGAGGTAAAATTTTGACGTGCCGCCGCGACTAATGGTGTCGAAGAAAATGGCGGGGAAAATCAGTGGTGAGGATGAAAATGTCGGAGCGGGATAGAGCGCGTCAAATTAAACTTAACAAGTTTTAATGCCCAATTACGGAGTTACACCTACCTGGCTGGCTCTTATTTCTGTTGGCGTAATAAGCCACGGTAATTGAAATTTACGAGCGTGTTTTACGCGGGCCGGTTCGTAAACAGGGAAAAAGCGGTGTCCAGCCAGCGTTTGAGACGCGCTAATTCGACGAAGTAAGACGAATGAATTTTAAATTTTCTCGTAACACTCGTGTATATATATTCTGCCACCTATGCGTTTAACTTTTCTATATTTTTTCCTTTCGATAAATTATTGGCAATGAAAATTTATTTTAGAAACTCTTTACGATGCGAGTAAAACATCCAAAAATATTACATGCGTATTTTTTCAAATACCTTAATTAAAATAAATAAAAATATGATA